TTTAAACATACTTTAAGACCATAGGTTTCTTTTAAAATGTTTGAGATTTTTTGTACTACTTCAAGAGTATCCAGTGAAGATAAAAACTCCTGTTTTTTAAATGAGAACACTCATATTTAACTATAAATTATACAGTAGATAATTTTTCTGAAATTTTTGACTTATCAAAATTTAGACAAGTGGTTTTTAAGTTATTTAACTTTGAGTTCTAACTTCTAAGGATAAAAGGTCAACAGTAATGAATTTTAAGATATGGGGGCTATAGGGATTTGAAAATTGTAGTCATTAATATTAATCTATCGATATTAATAATTTCTAAAAATGGTCTAAGTATAATAAATACTTAAACCAATAGAAAATCTATTTTATATTTGTGTAAAACCAGTCTTAAGGACTATTTTCCTTTACAAATATTTTAATACTTAGAAACTACTTATTTTAATTTTGAATATGGTACATCAAATTTTCAAAAAAAAAATTTTCTACTTATTAATTAAAGTAAAAGAGGAGGTTCCCGTTTAAAAAAACAGAAATTTGTGTCACCTTATAACACTCCATAAATAGTAGGTACAAACAAATTCAAGGATTTAAAAATATGGTCTTTTAGAATTATAAAAAATTCCAAAAATCAAAATTTTGAATACATTTATTATTAAAAACAAAAAATGGGGGCGAGCATGCTTGGCGAATCACCAGCATATAAAAAAAAAGGATCCCATGAGTACACCCATGTGATATATAGGTAGTAGTTATAGTTTTAGTGTATTATATGAGGCTACAGTGGAAAAACAGTTTAGGTTGTTAAAAACCTAAAATTAATCTGAATCTTTCTTTCTTTTGTATTACAATCCAAACCACAAAATAATTATCAACAGTATTTACTTTTAAATAAAATAGTACATTACAAATAAAATAACATATTATTATCTATTGCGAAACAAATTTACTATTTTATTTTTATTCTATGTTTTTTTCTAGTAAATAGCTTCTTTAATTTTTATTTTATAGTAGAAACTAGAAACACTATTCTGTTGGATAAGTAGGTACTTTCTATTAATACAATCTTAAAACATATATTAGTTAAAATTATTACTTTCAAAAGTTAATGGAAGACTTAATAATGAATTTATTATTAAAAAAAATATTTTTTATTGCCTTTATTTTCTTTTATTAAAATAAAAATGTTAACTATTTTTTTTTAGAATTATACTTGATTATGCTATTACATGTAAGGGTGTTGTCGTTTCGAATGACAATTTTCGTGATATATACAATGAGAAAGAAGAATACAAAGAAATTATTGGGAAAAGGTAAGTTATATAATTTATTTATAATATAATTACTTATTATGTTTATTACTTTGTATGCACTTGGTGTATTATACACTAATAATATATACCAATAATAAAGGTTTAACACATATTGTAATGTATAAAAATAAGTCAACTTTTTTTTTTTCAGTAAAATTTGGTCTACAAATTATTTGTATGTGAAAAGACAATATACCCATACAATAATTATACATTATTGATTGTTTACTACTAATCTATTTTTATTTTTCAAATTAAAAAAAAAATTATGAAATATAAATCTAAAAACAAGTGACTCCATTAAAATTGAAAAAAAATACTTTATTATTCGTTTGCTATTTAATCAAAAATTGAATCGATAAAATAATTGATTTCTCGTAGTAATTGATTTTCATAATATAATATAATTTACTATTTTGAGTTTTACCTATTTTAATTATTATGGTAATCAGTTAATAATATGATATTATTTTATACTTTGGTAATGTACCTACATTATACATATGTAGATAACATTTTGAAAAAAAATATGAATAGCGATCTCCTTCAAGATATACTAAATATATCTATTATCTATATCCGGCATATTCACTACTCACAATTAAAAGTATAGAAGTAAAGATCTATTTGGTAAAATTTAATTGAAAGCAATTTATTTTTGTTATCATAGACAGTGTCGTAGCCAGGATTTTTTTCGGGAGGGGGGAGGGCTACACCCCCCTCAGCCTCTCCCCTGGCTACGCCACTGTTCTATGATACATATTCAATTGTACCTAGTCAGCAGACAGTGGCCTTATATTTATTAGTACACACTTCTCAAATCCATGGGTAATGTACACTCCTAATTTTGGACTATATATTTTGTGGTGGGGTTCACTAAAAAATAGGGGCTGATATATAGGTATAATTTATTATTTTGGACATAATTATTTAATAGTATGAAATGTTAAAATCAATTTATGTTAATTTAAATTAGTTCTTCTAAAAAATATTTTAACTCTGAAAAATATTTGTGCTTTAATAAAGGGGTTTAAATTAATAATTAATGGGTATTAAATAACTGTTATGCTTATTAATATCAATTTACAAAATATAGAGTCCTAGGTATGTAGTGAATCTTGAGGAATACCATACCTACATTCATAAAAAAACAAGCATTTTAATGATGTGTCGTGTATGATGTATTATTTCAAATCTTAGTGGACCAAATTCATTAGCATAAAATTACACAGAAAAATCTCNAATGAACATTTAAAGGCCAATATTGTAGTAAGTTGACTAAATACAATCAAAAATAAACGTTATGTGAGTTGAGATTTATTGATACTTAAAATATTATGATAGATGGTAGTGTCAATCCTTAACCATTTGATAAATTATTTACAATTATATTGACTGACTTGCCCATATAGTGTACATATGACTAGCTGCCAATTGTTCAGTCTATTAATAATATTCATGATACCTATTCTTGTCGTTAGTTTAATGCATATTTTTATTTGTATTTACGTATATGCAAACAAGTTTATTATTAATCTATTTTTTCCATACTTTTTTAGGCAATTGATGTTCATGTTTATTGATGATGTCATCATGTTCCCCACTGACCAGTATGGTCGCAGTTTTCCACATTTGAAGACTTGTGATATTGTGCATTTTCCTGCTTAAGCTCAAACATAAAACCTGATAGTACAATACTATAGTTCAAATAATATAATATTTATTCAGAGTAAGTGGTTTTAAAAGGTATTCTTAAATTAATGTCAAATTATTTTTATTTTATTTGATAAGATACCAATACCTCAATTTACAATAAGCTATAAATTACAACAAGAAAATATACTATTTTATAAATTTAGTTATAAATACATATGTAGGTAACTTTAATTACAAGATAATTATTTTTATCCTTGAAATTGTAATTTTTGTCAACCTAAGTTTTTAATACTACAAATAATTCTGCAGATGTTCAAATTAAAATACATTTTTCCCATAATTATATTTTAAATTGATGATAATTTTTTTTGTACAACATAGTATTATCTCAATTAACTTTAAATTATTATATAAGAATACAGAATATATTATATACAGCAGGAGTCGGCAGCGTTTTTGATGTCAACGGCCAAAAAATTAATATAACATTTTTCACTGGCCACAAATGAATTAACCTTATATTATTTTAAACAAAAATTTATATCAAATTTAGTTTATTTAAGTTCACGACTGTTAGGTTTATTAATTGAACAAGGCACCTATCTACAAATAAACAATGTTTTAATCCACAGTTTCCAGTCCATATACTATATTAGCTCATGATTTTTATACTATTATACATTTTACTTGCCGGCCACATACAGTTATAATGAAGGTCAGCAAACCATGGGTTGCCAACTCCTGATATATAGGATAATTAATTATATCATAAGTAGATACTTAAAATGTTTATACATGCAAGTACCTGTGTAATAATCATGTACCGTAAAATGGTTTAACTCCAGGCGGAATTTAGTATTTTTTTTTCAAATCACTTTTGTCAGTTGTATCAGTTTTGAATTATAAAAGTAGAGTTTTTTAATATAAATTGTTTACTTTATACAATAGTATGAATATAATTTGGAGGTAGGTGATATAAACCAATGTAGTTTTTTTGTTTGAAATATCTGATACTTACCTTTAATGTTTTTCAACAATTTTCTAATTTTATTAATATTCACTTTATCAGAAACATCCAATATAAATTTCAAAAACAGTTCTGTCTGAATTCACACAGTAAGTCACCCTATTTTACGGTATTTTGATAATATTGCTCCAAAAAAAGTATTAATCATACTGTTAACAATATCTGTGTTCATATCATTAAAATATTTTGTGATTTCTTACATACCTATATATTTTATACATAGTTACTACAAGTATCATAGGTGCAATTTCAGTTTTTGACTTGGAGAGTCTTTATTTACTTAAATTAAACAGACTAGTGGGAGGCTCTACTCTCCACACTCCCTATGTGGCCTATTCAAATACCTTTAAAATGTATTACTATATAATGCAGGACCTAATATAATTACCATAATTTATTTATCATTTTTTCTTCCTCACTTTTCTACATTTAATACAATATAATACATCTACTTATTATTAAAATGAAAAATATTTTTACTAAACAAATTGCAACATTTACATATATTATAATTTATAACTTTTCAATATCTACTATTGAAAACACATGAATAATGATAACTAATGGAGGATTTAATACTTCAATTAAAATACAAATTTTTCCAAATTGCGCCTATGATAAGTACAAATCAAATTAAATTTGTTTTAGTATTATAATAAGTACTATTAATATTATATTTATGTACATTTTATTTTGATAACTTATGTAGAATGTACCTACATATTTACTCAATATTCATGTAGATAGGTACCTCATTTGAAAATAAATCACAAAAATAATAAAAGAATATATCATAATATCAAATTAAATTAACAAGTAGATAATGAAATGTGTATAAAGTATTTATTTTTTATGTTGTATCACTAATTTCTAAAAAAAAAAACATGGAGGAAGCTGTCCAATTATGTGCAACCTATTGATAAATTGTTGGTTTAATATGCTAGCTAAACTTAACTGTTGACCTATACAATACCTAAAATATAACTTATAATATAACCTATGCTCACTGTTTTGTTATAAGAATCCTTATAAGAAGAAGCTATCAAATATTAATTATGAATTCATATGCATTTATGTTGGTAGTATGTTTCATGACTTATGATTAAAAGTAAATGTCGTCAATTACTGTGTGATAAGTACTTTTAAAAGGCTTGGTTTTAAAGGGTACTCTTTGTTAAACTATTTTTTAAAAAATTTTCAACACATGTTTTTTATTTTTAATTGTATATTGAAATTTGTATCTTGGTTTGATTAACCTTTTTTGTTACTAATGCAGATTAATTTATAAATAAATACAATATAAAATATGTCCAAGGACATTAAAATAAATATTGGCTCAATTTTAAATTATTTTTCTATACTACATTTTATGTACCTACCTGTTGATGGCTGTTATTGATAATACCTACCAAATGACAATTGTAATTTTTCTAGAAATTAACTACCTCATAGGTCGCACATATTGGACCAATGTTGTTATTTAAAATAATATAATTATTTATAAAATATTAATTTTTGTCGATTAATTATTATTCACTGTAAATCCAATTTTACAAAATAATTGATAATCATTTCCTAATTAGTTATGGTTTATGTTATTCCAATAAATTGTACCTAACTTAAGTTAGTTAAATATTTAATTATGTAATACTTATTAATCAACTATTTTTTACT